AAAGAAAAGAAAAACTAAACAAAAAATAAAAGAAATAAAGTAAGAAAATGAAAACAAACGATAAGAAACGTTTGTGGTTGTTCGGGAAGGTACGGAACAATGATTAGTCCTATCTTAGGATACTGATAATTTTTGTATTTTCCGAAGCAAAATAAATAACTGCTCGCTAATAATAGGATCTTTAATTTTCTTTAACAAACGTTTAATAAAGCTAAGAAAAATTTTTGTCCTATTTTTTGAAGATTGAAACTAAGTTTACAGTCCAAGAGAATACCAAGATCTTTGAGTGTAAGAATACGGGAAATGTTATTAATTTTGTAATTAGGCATATGTACTATGGCTTTACTAAAGATCAGTGTTATACATAGGAAGCGATTTAGATGTCACGTACCAACTTTAAAACTAATTATTTTCATCTTAAAGACATTGATGCTCTTTTGCACTGGAGTAAGAAAGGCAAATTGCCCTTCGAGTAACGAATATTCAAATCATTTTCGCGTCTTTCTGCTTACACAAGAAATACTAAATTGTTTAATAACTTTACTTATGGAATTTTTTTTTCATGAAAATTTTAGATCTTGTCAATACAATACTTAAATGCGTAAATTTAACAAAGAGTACATCTTGAGTTAGTATGACATGTAAATTTCATATCCCACTTAAAGTTTTTATACAGTGCACATTGCACTATGGGCAAAAGTACCGATAGTGCAGCATTAACTGTAAATTTAAAGATAGAGCCTTGAAATTTTGCGCACACGTTAGTAATATTAATACACATATATTATATTAATACACAATATACATATACACTACATTTTCATTTTAGTAGGCTATTTAATGCTTTAATGTTGAGATATTGTTGCTTAGATAGCCCGTTTTCAATTAAAAACGCTAATGCCACCTTCAGAAGTTATGGGTACTGAGACATTCAATGATAGCTTATTTTCCATATCCTATAAATTGTCACTACTGATAGTTTTTTTTTTCACAACGGACGTTGTAGTCCGAGTTATAAGTTATCTTTCACGAAACATACAAATATTGTTAAGGTTACGGCTAAAAATTCAATTAGCAACACATTGGAGTATTTCACACTAAATCACTAGGCACAGTAAATCTTTTGAAACATATTATTTAGCCTACCTTTGGACAAACTTTCCGTAATTAAACTTTTTCGTAAATTTTAATTGCAATGGACTTTTTTTTACGGCGAAACATATTATTTAGCCTACCTTTGGACCGAACTTTCCGTAATTAACCTTTTTCGTAAATTTTAATTGCAATGGACTTTTTTTACGGGAATCATTTCTCACACATTTTGCTCACACAATGCAATCCTGAATCAGCTGACTTCGACAAAGCTGAAAACATTACAGGCAGTCCCCAGAATTTTATAAAAATTGTTTTTACCACTATTGAAATCTCCTTATTGGAATCTCCTGATTCAGGGTTGCATTGTGAATTGCAAAAACTGTGCAAATGTTCATTGTAGAGTTTTGGGGATCTCGTAGATGAGCAGTCTCGACCAAAGCTTTCTTGCTTGTTTTTGTTTTCTTATATGGGTAGTTACGTAGGGTAGTTATGTAAGGTGTTAACCTAGCCTAAGATTGAGTCATTGTATAGTATAGTAGTATATAGTATATAAAGTAAAGTGTTTACTAATTTAGTTAAATCTTCATTTTTATAGATGAGAATTTCCAAATCGGAAGCGATGGTGCAACCGACGATTCGATGTGCAGGCAGCAGCCACGATACTTTGAAAAGCTTGGTGCTCGTACTGAATACTTCTTGGAAAACATATTCACGAGATTGGGTACATTTTTTGCAACTTATCCCTGGTTAACTCTTTTTGGAGGCGCCAGTCTCGTCACATTGCTTGGATACGGGATAGTGTATGTGGAAATTACTACAGATCCAGTAAAACTTTGGGCTGCGCCAAGTTCAAAATCTAGAATAGAACGAGAATATTTTGATTCTAAATTTGAACCTTTCTTTAGAATGGAACAAGTAAGTTCTTTTAAACTTTACAACGCAAAGTTTAACTTTCACAGTTAAAGTAAAATTAATTTTGTTGCATAGGTAATAATTAAAGCCGTAGACCTACCATACATTGTGCATAATACGTCGAACGGGCCAATAAAATTTGGGCCAATATTTGCAAAGGATTTTCTGGCCAAGGTCTTAGACTTACAGCAACAGATTCAAAATATCGAGGCGAATGGAACTTTTTTACATAATATATGCTATGCTCCCTTGAAAGATGACAACACTATGGTAAAAGCTTCTGATTGTGTTATACAATCAATTTGGGGTTATTTTCAAGATGATATAAGCCGACTTGATGATAATGATGAGGATAACGGGTTTAATGTAAGTATATTAAATAAATACATACCATATATCTGATAGGTCTTCTAAAACGGTTGACTTTTTATACCCTGAACCCATTTTCAATGGGAAATCAGTGTATAATGGTTTTGTTGAAATGTATGTAACAGGGAGAAGGAGGAGTGGCAGACCCCACAAAGTATATATATTCTTGATCAGGGTGACGAGCTGAGTTGATTTGAAGGAGGCGTGGCAGACCCCACAAAGTATATATATTCTTGATCAGGGTGACGAGCTGAGTTGATTTGGCCCTGTCCGTCTGTCCGTATATACGAACGCGTCGATTTCAGAAGATATAAGAGCTAGAGACTTCAATTTTTTTTCAAATGTCCGTAATTACAGGGCGGATATCAAGTTTATCATTAAAAATCGATAACTCATCCTGATCTTTTTTTATCGATAAAAAACCTTATCGAAAACCAGTTATAAAATTATATCTTCTACACCTTTACTGCTAGAGTCTCCAAATTTTTAATGTATGCTTTGCAATATGCAATTTATACAATTTCGGTTTTTGTTAAAATTTACCCCCCACCTATAAATTCACCCCCTCACCCTCACTTTCGTAAAAAGCTTATTTCAAATAGTAGAGACTTGTGCTTTGGCAATTATTGCATGCCTATTAATGTTATAATCATAATCAGAAAGTTTCATGAAGATCGTACGTCCATAAAAAAAGTTATTAAACTTTAATTCTCATAGTAAGCGCACACTGCAGCCCATGCGTGTTTATGCGTAGGTGCTTGTGTGTGTATGTGTTTGTGTATGTGTGTGTGTATGTGTGTGTGTGTCTCGACTAGAGCTTTCTTACTTGCTATTTAAGCTCTTCTGTTTCAATAATTAGATTGAAATTTGATCTTAGCTTATAAAAAAAATAATTTTTCATTTTATTTCAGGTAACATATTTGGATGAATTGTATGACTGTATAAGTAATCCATATTTATGTTTAGCTTCTTATGGAGGACCAGTAGATCCAGCTATTGCATTAGGCGGGTTCTTAAAACATGGTGAACAACTTACAGGGTCAACAAAATATGAGCAAGCTAATGCTTTAATTTTATCATTTTTGGTAAGAAATCACCATGATAAAGGGAAGCTAGTTCAAACATTAGATTGGGAAAAAACATTTGTTGAGTTTATGATAAATTATATAAAAAATAATAAAAGTAAATCAATGGACATAGCTTTTACAAGTGAGCGGTCAATTGAGGATGAATTAAATAGAGAGTCGCAATCGGACGTAATGACCATTTTAGTTTCATATATTATTATGTTCATTTATATAGCAATATCCCTTGGCCATGTACAAGAATTAAAAAGATCCCTTATTGATAGTAAAATAACATTGGGTATTGGAGGCGTTATTATAGTTTTAACATCAGTGGTTTCTTCGATTGGTATTTTTGGATATATTGGAGTTCCAGCAACATTAATTATAGTCGAAGTGATTCCGTTTTTAGTACTGGCAGTTGGGGTGGATAATATTTTTATCTTAGTTCAGACGTACCAAAGAGATAATCGTAGAGCTAATGAAACAACGGAAAAGCAGGTGGGACGAGTTTTAGGACGCGTAGGCCCTAGTATGCTATTAACATCCGTAAGTGAGAGTTGTTGTTTTTTCCTTGGTAGTTTATCTGATATGCCTGCTGTTAAGGCGTTTGCGCTATACGCAGGAGTTGCGCTATTAATAGACTTCCTATTACAAATAACATGTTTTATTGGCTTGTTTACTTTGGACATAAAACGAAAAGATGAAAGCCGCTTAGATATATGTTGTTTTATCAAATGTAAAAAGTCTGATATAATGCCGAACAATGAGGGACTCTTATATAAATTTTTTAAAAGTGTTTACGTTCCATTCCTAATGAAAAAAATCGTTCGAGTTGTTGTAATGGTTTTCTTTTTTGGTTGTCTTTGCACTAGTATAGCCTTTGTTCCGAAAATTGATATCGGGCTAAATCAAGAACTGGCTATGCCTGAGGATAGCTTTGTTTTGCACTACTTTAAGTCCTTAAATGCGCATCTTAATATTGGTCCTCCTGTATACTTTGTACTTAAGGGAAATATTGATTATTCGAACAGCTTGAACCAAAATTTAGTATGTTCTGGGCGATATTGCAATGATGACAGTGTTTTAACTCAAATTTACTTAGCTAGTCGTAAATCAAATTTAACATATATTGCTCGGCCAGCTTCTAGTTGGATTGACGATTACTTTGATTGGGCTTTATCGTCAAGCTGTTGCAAGTATAATCCCACGAATGGAAGTTTCTGTCCCCATCAAGGTAAGCAATAATCGTATTTTTTCCTTTAAAACATTCATCTCAGTTGGTATTAACATTTTAAAATGTAAACTGCAATGAATAGTATTTATTTTTATTTATTGCAGATACTTCCTGTTCAACTTGCGAAATTAAAAAGAATAACCTTCAGCGGCCCAATGAACATGAGTTTGGAAAATATCTTCCGTTTTTTTTAAAAGATAATCCAGACGATTCATGTGTTAAAGCAGGACATGCAGCCTATAATGGGGCTGTTCGGTACAGCTATGAGAAAAAAAACATCAATATAGACAGTTCATATTTTATGGCTTATCATTCAATATTAAAATCGTCCAGGGACTATTTTGAAGCATTAGAATCAGCTAGAAAAATATCTGCTAATATTACACAAATGTTAAAGTTTAAACTTGTCTCAAACGGATTACCAGTTGACTTAGCAATGCAAATCGAAGTTTTTCCTTATTCAGTATTTTATGTATTTTATGAACAATATTTAACAATGTGGTCAGATACCTTACAGAGCGTAGGAATTTCAATACTTTCCATATTTATAGTAACATTCATTTTGATGGGTTTTGATGTACATTCCGCCCTTGTTGTAGTAATCACTATAACAATGATAGTTATTAACCTTGGGGGCCTTATGTATTACTGGAATATATCTCTTAATGCAGTATCCTTAGTCAATCTTGTGATGGCTATAGGAATATCTGTAGAGTTTTGTTCACACCTTGTACACAGTTTTTCATTATCAAAAGAATTGAATCAAATAAAAAGGGCTGCCGATAGTTTATCACAGATGGGTAGCTCTATATTTTCTGGTATAACTCTCACAAAGTTTGCGGGAATATTAGTCTTAGCTTTTGCAAAAAGTCAAATCTTTCAAGTATTTTACTTTCGAATGTACTTTGGAATCGTAGTTATCGGCGCAACACATGGTTTAATATTTTTACCAGTTTTGCTTAGTTATATTGGTAAGTACATATATTATTTTTAATAAAAATAATAATTAAATATGTTTGTGTACCCTGAACGCATTGAAAACAGACTTTTTAATAGTTTTATGATAATATGTATATGACGTGTAGCAGAGTATTAAAAAACTATATATTCTTGATCAACGCTAGATATATCTCCGCCCATCTATGAACTCAATGATCCATAAACCTCGAAAGCTATATATCCCTGAATATCATAAGCACTATGAACTTAAAATTTTTTCAATGAAATGGTAAATATTTTTATATACAGTAGAATCCGGTTATAGCGACTTAAACTATAAAACAATTTAAATTTTTGATCAAAACAACCATTTTTTATAAACTTATTCCAATAACATGGTTTGGAAACATTTTTGTGACGTCGGCATTGTACTTTGCCTCTCTCCCTCTCTTTGTCTTAGCAGCATTTGTAGCGTTGCTACGCACACAAGAAAGGATACTGATCACTGATCAATACATACATGTATACATTTCTAACAGAGTCTTTTTATGCTGAAATTTTTTGTCATTATTTCGGAAATTTTTGTTATCACGTCGTATTAACCGGCGATTGACTCAAAAATATGAAAAAAAATCGTCGGCATAAGCGGATTGTCGTTAAAAGCGGAGACGTACTAAGCGGAGACGTACTAAGCGGAGGCTCTTTCATATAAGTTTGTATGGGGACCAACCAAGACTTCGAATTTTCGTCGACATAACCGGTTCGACGCTTCAAGCGGAGTCGTTATAACCGGATTCTACTGTACTTATGAAACGTAAAAGTCCCATAAGCCACGAAAGATTTATACTCCTCAATACCATATGTACTATAAAGTCAAATCAACAATCATCTGAATATACTTTGAAACTCTATCTTGAATACCGCAAAAGATGGAAATATCCAATTTACTGTGGGGCTTATTGTCTTGATGTACATACATATGTAATTTATACTTTTTCATCCATCTAAATAATCATCTAAATTTTCAATTATAAATTGGAATGCGTGGTGCATAGAAAGCAAGAGTGCTCTAGTCGAGACTGCTCGACTAGGAGATACCCTGAACCCTTCAAGCTAATATTCTAATCATTCTGAAGTTCTTTCATGCCCATATACATACACATGCATCCACACAAACGCATAAGCACAGTAAGCAGCGACTGCGCTTGGGCTGCGCTGCAGCACTAACCATAGAACACATAGACCGAACAAGTAGTATAAAGCGTTTTGCACACTTTTTTTCGGGAGTTATCTCCCAGACCACTTCGTAATTGCTAGGCTCTTCACTTTTAGATTCGGGCTAAGAAAATATACGAAAGCACAATCATGTCGCTTCATGCGCTCGACCGAGATGGTCAAATGTTGAACAAAAGGTTCTTCTATGCTCAATTATTTTCTTAGTCTCTCTCTCTCTCTCTCTCTCTGCTCAATGCTCTCTGCTCTTTCAAATATTTATATGTATGTATGCATGGGACAAGCAGCAGCTCACGAAAATTGAAATTTCGTCGCGTTAGACTGCCGTTTCATCCCTTCTGTGCTAGAGTATACCTAACCCTTCAAATCGTTTGCCATGCTCGTGCAGAATGTTTGCGTTTTCGTTATTATTTGTGGGAGGGGTATGAAAGCGATGGTGCGCATAATGAAATGTTTTCGTGTCGAGCATGCATACACACACAGTTCCTTGCAACATGTACTATGAGCATACAAATGTCTGTGTGCGAAGCTCGGGCTGCCTGTAACAATTTTTGAAGCCCAGTATTTGCATTTGGTCGATCTTGTGAAGTGCTCACATACATATGTCTGTATGTGTGTATATACATTTGATTGTGTGTACGCATGAAATGCGATGCTCACAATTATGGGATATAACTTGTAGAAGCATTTGTACGCCTATGTACATGTGCGTATGGGTATGTGCATGTGTGTAGGCATGGGAGATGAACATTGGCGTATNTCAAAATTGTATAAATTATATATGTATGTAATTTGAATGCAAAAGCTATCGATGATTTTCCAATTTTAATGGCATCATGCCGTGTTTTTTGTTGCGCACTAGACTTGAAAATTGCACTATATACTCTGGTTGACAGCGTTCGGGCTGTGAATGAGTCTTCTGCAATCGGTATCGCCCGACTGCAACGTTCTTACTTGTTTTTTTTTTTTAATTCTGATAGGCAAATCCACAATCATTGAAATGAAATCAGGTACTTAAATATAAACGCGTGCTACCCGCCAGTTACTATACCACCCACATATATGTGTGTGAGTTACTCGCCGGTCACAGTGCCACAGAGTATTGGGAAGTCTAGCTCTCTAGCTCTTATATCTTCTGAGATCGACGCACTCATACGGACGGACGGACAGACGGAGAGGGCTATACCGACTCAGCTCATCGTCCTTATCAAGAATATATTTATATTTATGGGGTCTGCGATGATTCGTTCTGTCTGTTACATACTTTTCACAAAACCTTATACTCTAATTTCCCATTTTCAATGGGTTCAGCGTATAATTTTATACCTGAAAATGCACTTGAAAATCATAAAATAAGAATTGAAAGAAAAATATTTAACATCTTTACTCACGATATAACACACACATTTAATTATTTTTTTTAACAATCTATTTAATATACAATTTATATAAATTTCTTATTTTCCATTTCTTTAGGTGCACCTAATAATTCTAGGCTTGAATCTCAAAACCATGAAAATTGTGAGCAGGAAACTTCTTTATCTGGAACTAGATAATTTGTTTACTCATAAGAATGTTGAAAATATCAAGAGCGAAATCAAAGGAATGTCGAATGTGGAAATTCGGCGTTAATCTTTGTTTTTATTAGTTATTTTTGTAAAACCAAATTATTATTTTCTACAAAAAAGAAGTATGGTATCTGGCTAAGGTGTGATAAATTTTAATCAACCATTATTATATGTAAATATATATGTATACACCGCTTTTAACATGAAAAACTATGTATTTAGATTTTGAATAAAGTTTACAATGTACAGCAATTTTTAATGTGAAACTATTACTTTATTTTATTATCTTATTTTTAACTATCTATATTACAAATAATAAAGTGAATGAAAGATATTTGAATTATTTACACCTTAAAAGGCGTATTAACAGCACCAGCATAAATTCATTTCGGAATTGGCGTTGACAATATTATAATAGACTTCATCCTACTAAAGCACTGGCACATTTGATACCGGCTTAGAGTCGGGGCTCTTTATAACACAAAAGTAAAGTGGCTCGATTCACTGACCCAAAGCTGGGCTTTGGCAAAAACTAAAAAAGCAAAAAAGCCCGGCAGCAAAAAATATTTCAAAAACTCCAAAAATCACTATATGTAGCAGATGCTCCAACCACTAAAGCAGTACGGGCACCCCGATATGCATCCAAGCGCTACTTCCAGGCGCTCCGCCGTCGCGAATGAGGAAGGAATCAATATGGATACTAAAAGCGGAGTATCGGATCTGAAGGAACTGCTGCTCTAGAACATAGCAGCAGCTCATGGCAAAAGTTGGAGGCAGAAGCAACTGCCAGTAAAAACAAAGAAGTAAAGAGCACGGCAACAGTGGAAACTCCTACTATAAACAAGTAAGAAAGCTCAAATCGAGACTTCTCCCCTGAACCCATCGAGCAACTACTATTTAAATAATTCTTCGCGTCTTTCTGCTTATACAAGAAACAACACATGCACATACATACGCAGGCATACGCACGCACACAGAAATACGCATTGGCTGCAGTAGTGGCTTACTATGGGAACTGAATTGTTAAATAACTTTTCTTGTGGATGGACTATCTTCATGAAACTTGCAGATTATAAATATAACATAAATATGCATGCCAAAGCACAAGTCTCTTGCATTTAAAATACGCCTTTTACAACTATGTGGGTGAGAGGGTTGATATAGGGGTGGGAGGTAAATTTTAACAAAAATTTTAACAACAATTTTAAAAAAAATTGTATAAAATACATCTAAATATACAGTGCTTATCATAATTATAACCCACCCAGCAACTTAAACTTTGAGCCAGTTTAAACAACATTTTTACGGTTTTTCAAATATGAATTTTACAGCACTTTGTAGACTGGAGCATGTTCAGTTGGATTTATCGAAATTTTTGTTCAATTTATAGAAAAGAATTTAAGAAAAGAAAGAACCGTTAATTTTGAAATGTCGACGTGTAATTAAAATTTTTTTAAATAGCCTCACATTTGAGCGAATTTAAGCGATAACTGTTTGGCGAGTACTTAAGAGCTCAGGAATCATAAAGAGGTCTAAGCTGACCAAAGCACCCACGTTGTTTAGTCGCCACAAGGTTGCTCGACTTGATTTCGCCGAAAGGCATACTGTGACCGATCTCTCATACGCACGTTTGAATCATCGTCTTTTGGCTTACAGTATATTTATAAATTTTTACCCTAACAGGTCATATTTACTGATGGGAAGAAGGTTTAACCTGGATGGTGCCGATGGGTTTGATTCTTATTATCATGATTTGAGAAAGGATCCTATGTTTTTTTTTTCAAGGACAGACTTTGGAGGTGGCTCCGTCATGATTCATTTGGTCATTGGGTACCTTGGAATTGAAGTTTGTAACGAGCCGAGTGAACAGTGAAGAGTGTATTCAGAGTCTGGATAGTAGTCTCATTCCATATTTGAAGGAATTACGTGCGAAACCAATGGTTTTAAAACAAGATAATGCCAGAATCCATGCGAGCCGACGTACAAAGGAGTGTTTGGAGGAATGTTATGTTGATGTCCTTGACTGGCCAGCATACTTTTCAGATCTCAACCCGATAGAAAATTTCTGGGGTAATCTTGCAAGACGTGTGTTTGTCAAATTGGAGACAATTGGATATCTTAAAACGCAAATTCTAAATGAATGGCAAAGTTTCGAAAAAAAACTTTTATTAAATTTACAGGTTTCAATGAGAATGAGAATTTTAAAGTTAACTAAGGCAAATGGAGGCCGGACTAAATATTTACATTAGTTTTTCTATCAATCCCAAACAAATTCGGACTTATTACCATAATATGAATATGGGCTATAATTTTAATACAGCAAATGGGAGCTGTTTTTCTTCTTCTTTTTAAGAAGTCGTCATTAAATCGTTTAAGTGAAAAAGTTTTTGCTATTCATAATTGAAATATTAAGCTACTCATTTTTGAAGATTTTAAGGAAATATACCATTTGGGAAAAATTTTCAGCCGACTCTCTTCAGACTCTAGCTTTAAATATGTATACAGTGGACCAATAATGTCTTCGTACAGCAATGATTTTTTTCTTTGGCAACGAATAAGTAATGCAAGATGGGCAAAAATTAAAAACTTTAATTTACAGATTTATTAACTAATATTTTAACAACAAATTAGAAAAGAGATAATTTGAGTATTTTCTTTAGCATAAAAGTTATAACTAACAAGTAAGAAAGCTCTAGTCGAGACTGCTCGACTACGAGATCCCCTAAACCCTTGGAGCAATATATATTTCAATAATTTTTCGCATCTTTCAGCTTACACAAGAAACACGCACACACACAAACGCATACACACACAAACGCATACACACACTCACATACACACACACATATACAAACCCATACATACACATACACAAACACATACACACACAAGCACCCACGCATAAACACGCATGGGCTGCAGTGTGCGCTTACTATGAGAACTTAATTGTTTAATAACT